ACCACATGAACAATAGGGGCAGAGTTTAAATAATCTTTTATATTCACCTTTCACTTCAAAGTCTTATAAAGTCGGAACAAAATTTTTCACCTTTAAAGTTCACGCATTGCATTAAATTTGTTTTTCAAATTGTTTTTATTTTATGTGTGTGAGTGTATTGCCTGAATTTATATAAGGGCACCCATGCTGTGCCATGCCTGGGGATGTCAGAAGAGGGTGTCAGATCCCCTGGAAATGGGGTTATGGTGGTTGTTAGCCTCCATGTAGATGCTGCGAATTGAACTCAGATTCTCCACAAGAGCAGCCAGTGCTCTTAATCACTGAGCTATCTCTCTACCGCACTTGCACTAAATTTGTGATGCAAGAGGGAAAGTGGCTGTTAGAAGGAAGAAATGTGGTTTTCTCATAATTTTGGAACCAGTGAGCTATAACTCATAAAGAACAATGCTTCTAATGCATTAGGTGATAACAAATGACTATTTAGAAGTGGGAATTCAAGAATGGCAATATGCACATTGAGAAGGAAAGCCACCAGGTGAAGGGGGTAGACACATCCTCTGCACTGATGAAGCTTCTCAATCCTTAAGAGACTGAAATGGAGATATGAACAGCACACGGAAGCCCTGGGCTCTCTGCTCTTCTGGGGGCAGCTGAGTACAGGAACTGACACAACAGCTTTTTCCACAGCCTACATCAGCAGTGCCATTCGGGAACTGTTTCTAGAGGCTTTGCCCTAAGACTGCGCCAGAAAAGACCAGCATGAAAACTTTCTACATTATAAAAACTAAAGTCAGACAGGCACCATGTAGCCACCAGTGTCTCCCAATCTGCACTCCTACATTGTGCAAAGAACAGACTGAGGGATTGTCTTCTAATCTTTCCACCTTCCCTTCTTCAGCTTGGGTAGCTGTCTATGTCCCTGCGGTGAACAGTCCTCTCCTGAGCACTGGAGTCTCTGTCCACATGCTGGGCTGTCTCCGTCCAGGTCTCTCCACGCGGTTTCTCTGGCCTCATTCTTCTGGATTGGTTTCTCTTCTTCCTCACCTCAGTGGGCCTCAGGACTCCTCTGGATTTCTTGTTTATGTACCAGGCTGCAGAAACTCTCCTTGGGGTGCAAAAGAGATGAATCTCATCCTTGCTTTTTATTTTTCAAACTGAGACTTCTATCCTTTACTTTTAATGTCCAATATCTTGAAACTAATTACATGATATGCTCTGTTTTGGACATAAGTCAATACAAGGACGGGTTAAAGAGAGTTTGATTTTGCGTACTAGTCACATTTCTGAAAACTCAGGTTTGAGGTTAGAATTTTTGTATTACGTGGGGTTCTGCAATGAAAGGCTTGATTTGGAGCTTGCAAATTAGGCTTAGTGTTTTGATAGGAAAATCTTTAGGATCTTAGTGTGAGGGAATGTGTAATAGTTTCTGTCGAACACAAAAATCAATTATCATTTCTAAATTAGCCATGAGCGTATCAGTTACATGACAGGACATAATACGTTTGGAGGAAAAGGACATTATGGTAACAGAACAAGACAGGACTGATCTTAACCAGGTGAATAAGGTGTATTAGAGGTGATCCTTGTTCCTGAATAGTGGGTTCCATGGCAACTGTGTTTAAGATTGGATTAACCAAACTAAGTACAAAGTGAAGAAATGGTCTGTAGCAAGTAGGTTACAACACATCCAGAGAAGACAGGATTTGAGACTGTGTGCCGATAGTCATTTATGAGGATCGAAAAGATCTTACATACACTCCTGTGAGGAGGACGCCCACCAGACACAGTGTCACCAATGGTCCCAAACATAACCCCATAGGAGTTGTTGGTATCGCTGTACTTTTTGTGTTCATAGATGCAGCAGGAAAGATGTCAGGATGTTTATTGCATCTCCTATAGTACTGAATCTCAGTGCATCTCGGACTCAGAAGCATACAGCTCTCTGTTCTTTTCCTCTTACCTTTAAAAAGGCTCCACATCTAATGACACCTGCCTCCTAGCTTGATGACCTGGGTTCATTTCTTAGGAGCCACAGGGTGGAAAGAAAAACCTGTGTGTTTTTCTCTTACGTCCAGCACTTAGAAGCACAAAACCATAGCGCATGCATGCATGCACACACACACACAGACACACACACACACATACACTAAAGAAATAAATCATAAATAAGTAAATATTTTAAAAATGGATGTGGGCTGTCTGCCTGAAAGAGAAATGATTTTTTCTTGTTGATCTCTTCATAGTTCAGTGCTCTGATGGAATTTTATTTATTTAGTTCCAGGGAAGGACCGCTTCTAACGCTGGCTGAACAGTCCTAAACAGTAACAAAACTAATGAGACCTCAATTCCGTTACTTCGACATTGTGCTGCTATTGGATAAAGCACTGAAACACCACAGCTCAGGAGGCACTTGGTCCTTCTCTAGAGGTGAAGGAAGCTGACTGCATGGCTAGTCCTGTCTCCATGATTAATCTCAGTATCTTATCCATAGACTAAGATGTTCACACTGGAGAGATTCTGCCCACTACTGCAGGTCACAGGGACTGCTCTGTTGTTCCTCCAAACACAGAAAACACTCTTGTCCCTGTGTTCACAAGAACAGGCCTTACACTTACATGGCTCTTTTACACCCCATTACACCCACCAGGAAATTTGCATATCACTGTCCAAGGAGGTTTATCCTTGCAAATCTGAGATAAAAGCTCAGTTGTATTATTGTGTTGATGACCAAGACTCCTCAGTTCAACTCAGAATGAGGCTCCCTGCTCAGCTCTTCTGGCTGCTAATGCTCTGGATCCCTGGTAAAGACAGAGGGAGCTGAGGAGGAAGCCGGGTGGGAAGATGTGCTCTGGTCCACTGCTGCCCATACTTCCTGTGTGTCTGTGAGGCGCGCAGACCTTGCCCTTTAGGGTGGGCCTGGAAAATTTAAGTCTGTGAGAATGAGGGCTGTTCTAGAAGGAGCAAGAAGCTGTATTCTAATGAAGACTCTGACAGTGAAGGGCAGGGATCATGTAGCACAATTCCAGAGGCCTTGTTATGCTTTGCCAGTAACTTCTTAAAATAAAGACTGGTTTGTTTTGGCCAGGAGCAGAATATGATCAGAAAAAAGTAAATATAGAAAAACCATTGAAAGGTCTCTTTACATTTGTTCATAACCTGGCACTTCTCTCTCATCATTTTAGGATCCCGTGGAGACGTTGTGATGACACAGACTCCACTCTCCTTGTCTGTTGCTCCTGGAGAGTCGGCCTCCATCTCCTGCAGGTCTAGTCAGAGCCTCTTACATAGTGATGGAAACACCTACTTGTATTGGTACCAACAGAAACCAGGCCAGTCTCCACGGTTCCTGATCTATGGGGTCCCAGACAGGTTCAGTGGCAGTGGGTCAGGGACAGATTTCACACTCAAAATCAGCAGAGTAGAGCCTGAGGACTCTGGAATATATTTCTGTCTTCAAAGGACACATTATCCTCCCACAGTGGTACAGCCCTTAACAAAAACTCCCCTGCTTGGTGTGGCCCAGCTGCCCTCCTGTGTGGCTTGTCTGGGGAGCAGCACAGCAGGTTCTCTGAGCCTGTGCAGGAGGCAGAGTTTCTATGACTCAGTGGAGCATGTTACAGAGGCGGCATCTGCTCCAGCATCTTTTTTACTCCACTCTGGGCCCACCATAAAGTGACATATTATTGACATGACATAACAGCAGATGAGTTAAGAGGAACCAGGTCCCCAGGACAACCAGGGTGAAAGGAGAGCTCAGTGTGTGACGTCCTTTTCCTCCTTGCCTGCTGCACAAGCACAGATGAAATTCATAGATAACTACAGCCATGGAATTCAGACTAAGGATCATGCATGACTACCCAGAGACATAGATGGTTTTCCTTTTTCATCTTTGTTATTGTTGACACATTGGAGTTTTCTTTCTGGTTGAGCAAGGGGAGTAGGAAAGCATTAGGTGCTGTCAAGATCCCGTTTTCCTCTGCCCTCTTTTCTGACTTCTACTTTTTCTTACTGTGAACTTCCTTCTCTAGTGTGGAGGGTACAAGACACCAGGTAGTCCTGTCTGTGAGGTAACAGAGAACACTGCCCCGTTCTTGGCTCCACACACTAGAGCCAACTTTAGTAAACTTACTCAATAGCTAGGGCCCAATTCCAAAAAATGATCAGTTTTGGAACATGGTGTTGAAATAGACTGGACGTTCTCTGAATTCTAGTCTTTCTGATAAAATGTAAAGGAACATTTCTGTAAAATTAGGGAGCATGGACATATGTCTTAATGGAACTTCATGACTGAAGATCAGACAAAACTGTCCCCACCCAGAAAAAATAAGACTCTGAAGATGTGGGGAAGGAGAGCAAGTGAACACATGAGAACTGCACAGTGACAGCAGCTGTTGATAAAATACTTCACCTGTGACTCACCTGTGGCTGCTGGAGGAATTGAACATTGATATATGAAATTAATCTTCTAAGACCTTCATGAGAAGATCAGTTGAAGGCATCACTGCAAGGATGCAAGGTCACATCCCGGGTTGCCTAGAAACTCCGAGAGCAGCAGTGCATCATGCAAGACTCCAAGGACTGTAGTGACAGTGGTGCAGGGAAACGTCAGCACCATCGCATTCCTCCCTCTCTCAATTACCCAGCAGAGCTGCAGTTCTGAGCACCCTGACTATCATGTGTTCCCTTTATATTGGTGAACCAGTAAATCTCTCCTTAAAGCTTGTTTGGTGAACTTTTGTTGAATCTTTTCACACTACAAATGTACTAAAAAACTGAAGTACCTACTGTTGTATTACTAGTGAACTTCAGGATTCAATAACCTAGTTACTGTATAAGCTTATGGAACAGGAACAATAGGGTGTATAAGTCTGGGTGTGTATCTGGCGTCATCACCCAGTCTTATACACATAGACTTTATGATGTGCACACGATGAAGCAATTGTCCAGTTGCTGTACTCTTCCTAGTGTACCTGGATTATTCAGTGACATGAGCCTGTACCAAAATTCTTACGTGATTTGGCTGTCTGAAGTATGGCATGGTTTCTTTATCCATTCATTTGTGCCTCTGCTGAAGCACATTTGAGCTGTTTCTAGCTTTCAGTGATCACAAAGGCTAATGGTGTGAAAAAGAAAGTGCAAATATCCACAGTGTTGTCTGCTCTTGATTTTAATTCTTGATGCTGTAGGAGTGGGAAACTGCAGCCTCTTTATTAGCAGCAACATAGAAATTGAACCATTGGCAATTGCGGCACAAAGTTTCCATCTCTTCCCATCTACAAACGCTTGTCATTTTTCCGGTCATACTAATATCTGTGATGTGGTTTGCATTCTCGTTAGTGTGTTATCTCCTTAGCAGTTTATAATGTTGACATGTTTTACGTTTGCTGATTGCCTTTGGGCCTCTTTCAGGATTGTCTGTACAAGTTTACAAAAGTTTCATAACTTATACTGTTTCTATTTTTGAAAGTTTGCTGTTGATTTTCAGGATGTATTTATATTTCCTAAGTACTGATGTTTTGCAAGATACATGACTTATAATAATTTTCTACATGTAAGAAGTTTGTCCTGTGTGCTGGACAGCTTTAGTGTCAACTTGACACACCTGAGTTGAGGGAGCCCCAATTGGGGAATTTCCTTCAATGGACTGGCCTGTGGCCATGTCCATGGGTCACCTTTTTGATTGTTGAGTGATGTGGGAGGGCCCAGCCCACTGTGGGTGGTGCCATCCCTGAGCAGGTGGGCCTGTATTGCATATGAAAGCAGGCTGAGTAGGGGCCAGAGGAGAAAGCCAGTAAGCAGCATTCCTCCATGGCCTGTGCTCCAGCTCCTGCCTCTAGGTTCCTGCCCTGAGCTCATACCTTGGGCTCCTGATGAACTGTGGCCCAGGAGATGTAAGCGAAATAAACCCTTTCCTCCCCAAGTTGGTATTGGTCAGAGTTTTTTTGTCACAGCAATGAAGAAACAAACTAGGACATCTTTAATATTCATTTTAAAAATTTAAATTGCTTTTTAAATTTTTTGAGTATTTGTGCATGTGTATGTGTTTATGTGTATGGTGTACATGTCGAGGTCTGAGGACAACTTGTATGAACATATCCTCTCCTTTTAACATATGGGTCCCAGAGACAGAACTCAGGTCATCAGGCTTGGTGGCAAATACATTTACCCCCTGAGACAGCTCACCAGCTCTCTTATGATATTATTAAAAGAATCTTTGGTGTAAATAATTTAAAAAAATTTTTTGTTCCATGTGCTTTCCAATGTTTTATATGTATGCAATAATTTGAAAATTCCTAAATGTTTTGCCGTAGTTTATTTTTTAAGACCCTATCATCCTCAGACATATTTATACACTTGTTGTACCTTGGTTGATTTTTATATATCATACAGCATAAGTCATTGTTCATCATTTGTGGAAAGTGTTATCTCAACAGAACAGAGAGGTTTTCCCTGTACTGAACATCATATTTGGTGGTTGCAAATACAGAGTGAAATTATTCATCTTCTTGAAAGTCGAAAGTCAGTCTATCTCAGAAAGTTGGACTTCTAAAATCTTAACCTATATAAATGGTTAAAGAATTTGTGTATGATTTTTATCTTATCTCCTGGAACCCCTGTGTTTCCACCAAAAACTCATTGTCTTTACAATGTCTTGGCCATTACATCTACTCCTCTATGGGGGGATGATTGGTTCAATATCTCTAAGATTCTTCAGTCTGCATCGTGTCATAGGATAGGGAAATTACCAGAGCTTGGGACTGTCATCCTGTAAGATGGCAGCTAGAAGCTGTCTCAGCTTGATTCTGTGATGGAGCAGAATCAGAACCATAAAAAGCAGAGAATTCCAAAGAAAGGAAGAGCTTCAGAAATCCACAGTTTCTACTAGCATGTCTGAGAAGTGCTGGGAAAATGACCCGTAACACCTAGTAGAAGGGAGCAGAGCCAAACACTTGCAGTTGCATGAATCCCCAGTTGGGAGATGGGATGCAGAAGCCTCTTTTGAATGTAATTCAGGCAACTCTGGAAAAAAGGACATGTGGAGTCCTATCCTAGTCTTATTCATGTGGTAGACGGGTCATCAGTGGAGAAAAATCTTATTGCATCACTCCAGATAACTTGGGGGCAGTTTCTGGGCATCATCCTCAGAAAAGACATGGAAAGGGTTAAAAAATCAAGGCACCAGTGAGACGGCAAAGTTACAGCTCTTGCCACCAAGGTTATTAGTGTGTTTGACCACCTGGAACCCACATTATGGAAGGAAAGAATTGAAACCCTCAGCTGTCCTGGCACTCATGTGTGTTAACACATTTACATAAACACACACACACAATAAATCAATAAATGATTGTCTAAAAACCAACAAACCACTCTTCTGGAGGCCTCAGAATAGAAAAAAAAATTAGTCAAGGAGCCTAAATTTTCACTTACTAAGATCTGGCCTGGTCTCTTCTCTGAAACTCAAAGCAATTTCTCAGGTGACATGACTTTGGTCTTCATTCTCCTTCTGAAAGAATTTTTTTGTTTTCAGAGATTTTTGGAGTCTTAGGTTTACCTAGCCAGTTCACCAACGACAGGTCCTTTCTGGTTAGGTGAAGGAAGGAAGGCCATTGTTTTGTTTTTGAGACAAGGTGCTGTACATTCCAGGGTGGTCTCCATCAACCGCGTAGTTGAGGATGACCTTCAGTTCTTGATCTTCCACCTCCCAGTGCTGGAATTATAGACTTATATCTCTATTCTCTCTCTCTCTCTCTCTCTCTCTCTCTCTCTCTCTCTCTCTCTCTCTCTCTCTCTCTCCTTGAAAATGATGTACTTATTTTAAAATATTTTTATTAATTCTATGTAGACTTCAGTGTATTTTGACTATAATGACCCTCCCTCAACTTCTCCCGGATCCACTCTCACTTCCCTACCCACCCAACATCGTATGTATTGTTGTTTTTCCCCACTGAGTGTAAGAATGACTTTTATAGTAAAGACGTGCTCTGGAAAGTGACTTGCAATCAGAAAGCTAATCATAGCTTGTTTACAGTTTGGACAAGCTCACTAAACCACGTGCTCTTCTTGTGACCTGGGATTATGGCCATAATTCCTCATAATCTTTCCTTGCCTTCAACTTAAAATAATGCATGAATGTATGTGTGTTTCTATACACAGAAGAGCTGCAAGTAGCCCTGCTCATCTCATTATAAGCAAAGAGAGAAGTTGATAAATTTTGTGGTTTTGTGGGGGGGTTGGGGGGTGGGGGGGTGCGCATTTGCGTGCGTGCCCTCTTCTGTGACCAAAGGGGTCAGAAGGGATATAATCTGATAAGACAAATCTTTCTGCTTTTTAGTTCATCACTTCATTTAAGATTTCAATAAAAGAATTCACAAGCCATGATTTGGGAACACAGTTCTGAGAGAATTCTGAAGAAACAGGTTTTTTGCAATTTGAGTTTGCTCTTGGTTAAAACGGATGCTAAGAATCAGGCTGTTATTTATTGAGGCATGGCCATAATGTGGCTTTGTATAGTAAACACTGCAATCAAGTACAATACGTATTGCCCTAATACACTTAGGTGTGGAACCCACCATGGATTTTGGTCAACCTACCAGGGGTCACACCTGTAAAGAAACCTGACTCTTCCTCTCCTAGTATCTATCAGTGCTAGTAGCTCCTCAGCTGGAGTGGGACTTC